GGGCATTTTTCACTGCCCTTGCCATGAGCGTGTTCATTTGAAAAGTCTCTTCGTTTAGGGATTTCAGTGCAAATCCTGAGCTGTCAGGGCTTGCCTGGGGACACGTGCCCTTTCCTGGCGAGTCCATTCCTCCTCAAAAGAAATGGGTAGGATCTGAAAAGCCGGCTGGCCGGGTGAGCGGGGCGCTGCCGTGGCTGCCCCTCGGGGGGGGGGACGGAGACATCTCTGATGCTGGGCAGGAAAGGCGGAGGCGAGCGCCCATGGCGCCGAGCACGGAGCCTGGTCCGTCCCTGCCCCCCTGCCAGCCTGTGGGCAGAGGGGGCACGGTCCTTTTTCCAAAGCATCCTGTACGGATCCTCCCTGCGATCTGCAGGCTGCGCGGGGGGGGGGGGAACTTGAAGCCTTACACCATAAAATTACTCGAGTGTATTTGAATAATTCAGAGCCACAGGTCCTACGTGGTTTGTTCTCTAAAGATTGATTTAGCTTCTTATTAAGGGAATTGGGAATTCGGTGTGAAAATCTGAACAAAATCCAGGCGGTTTTTATTTTTTTTTAAATATCCAGTAATGTAACCCACCGGGGAGAAAAATTTCAAAGCCTGTCCAACCCTATCTTGAATTTTTGATTTTCTTGCTTTCCTGTTTCCGTTCCCGAGGTGTTCTGGTTAAGGAAGAACACCTCAGCATTACTGTGGTATTTTTAAATAAGCCACAGTCACTTTAAGGAGCTCGGGATAAAAAAATTCACTAATACTTTGATTTCTGCCCCCCCCCTCCCCCTCCCAGTTTTCAGAAGTTTGGTAACGCCAGATGTGACTGCGTATAAATGGAGGGGTGAGGCGGCTGTAGTTGCCCAGCTCCCCCCCCTCTGCCCGGAGAAGGCATTTCCTCGTTAATCGTCTGTCGGTTTTAAAAAGGTGGGAGATGAAGCGTAGCTGGCAGGGCCTGGCTCTGCGGGGGCAGCGGGGGGGCTGCAAGGAAGGCGCCTACGGCCGCCAGCCCCTGGAGGCAGGGATGGATTTTGTGTCGGAGCCAGGGACGGGTTGTGCGTTCCAGGCAGGGACGGGTTGTGCGTCGGAGGGGAGCCACGTGGGTCGTTGCTCTCGGCTGGTTCGTCAGC